TAGATCCAAATTGCTTACACATCAAGCTACAGTCCACTTCACAGGGGATGTTTGAGGCCAAACTTAATTTAACAATATCTAATCAGGTTCTTAGCTTTTAACATTCTGGTGATGTATGATCACTTTGGCCTGTGTTTAGCAAGAAATCTGTTAGGTTGGTTGAACCAAAATTCCCCTTTTATCTGTGATAGTTTCCTCTTAGTATATTCCTTTCTGACTTCCCCTCCACACAACCAACTGATAAGGAGATAAGATGATATCTGAGATAAGATGTTTCTGGAAATAGATGTATTCTTTGGCTTTCGTGTCTTTGCACTAGAAGATTTCAAGCAAGACATGAAACTTAGAAAAAGAATAGCAGAATTTATTAGAAGAGAAATGTGGGAAGCCATCCTGACACGTGACTGGGCGACTCCCGTTAAGGGTCTGAGGCTTCTGGCTGTGTAGGAATTTTCCCGGCCCTTTCCTGATGAGAGAACCCGTCCGTGTGGGGGTGTGACTGACCACTGACCCCGGGGGCCCAATCACTGACCCTGACCTTGGAGTGCAGTCCCCCCTCAACCTTCATTGGATGGAATTATCCCCTGAATTTCTTGTTCCCCAATAAAAGGCTACTCCCTGGCGTGTTCACTCTCTCTCTCTCCCACTAGCCCTGAGTAATCCTTGCTGCCCTGCTGGGCGGTTAGAGGTTGGAGCCAGAGAGGGGAGCCGTCTCGGACCTGGCAATAGAAATAAGGTAACTGAGTCTGTGTGTTTTATTTCGATCTCTTCTAACTAACTTTATGCCTAGAACCTCATTAATGAAACCATTGTGCAGGCCGCGTGGTAGAGAGAAAGAAGGGGAAAATACCCTCACAGGAGAGAGTGCTTTCTCTCAGGAGAGTGACAACTCACTTCTTTGTGAACTCAGTTTTTATTAGGACAGATGGAAGGTTTCTAGAGAATCCCACCTAAGTGTTAAACCACAATGCAAAGAAAAGACCATGAACTCCAATTTAAATCAAATTAAAGCAAGCTTGTAATTCTGACAGGCCAAAACCCGTGGGAATAGTAGACAGCCCTCCAGCTCTCTAGGAGTGTAGCTTTATAGCACAGAAAGTTGCAAAAAGGGGAGGTGTCTTGAGAACTTACAGATAACAGGATTTTTACAAGCATAATACAAAGGCAGATATTAGATTTAATGTTCCAGCACTTAGGGAGTAAATTTAGATCCCAACATCAGAATTGATGAGGCGCCATTACAGCTTCCAAGAGGGTCATTATCTGGCTAGGGAAAGCCGGAATTTATGAAGCACCACTAAAGTTTCAGAGAGGGTTGCTATCTGGTCAGGGAAACCGAGGCATGGGTGAGTTCAAGGCACGGGCAGGCATTCCAAGCAAGTTTAGAAATCACAGTAATTTATAGTAAAGCCAAAATGGGCTCACAAAATAAAATGTGACGAGATGGTTCCCAGTCTTAAGAGGGAATTAGGCTGGGTTTATCACTACACAACCTCTTTTGACTGATGGTAGGATCGTATCATATTTTTTAGTCCCTACTGTGCAAGTTTCTACTGAACAGATACTCTAGGTCATTTTGGTTTATGTAAAGTCAAAGATCCTCTTTCATCCAGATCCATCCCAGATCAGTGTAACTTGTGCTTTTTTCTTTATTTCCTTTTCTTTTTCTTATTAGTAAAGGAGTTTTGAGGCCTGTGCTCTTCAGCCCTAGATAAAAGAATGTGACAGTGGTCCATGTCATGTTTTGAATATATCCCTTGTTGCTTTTCCACTGAGGCTTATTTTAAAGCTGACTTTCTTTTATTTTCTCTTCTCCCTTTTCCCTTTCCTAACTTCTGGGGAAACAGGTTTACCCTTTTCCTATCCTAGGCCCAGTTATCTGTCCTTGAGCACACATCAATCACAGGAATGAAGTAAATAGATCTCTGGGAATGGAACCAGAAGATTTAAGAGATGGTTATCTCTCAAATTAACAAATGATTTACATCAGTGTAAATGTGGACAGTAGCCTTTGAATCACCTCTTTAAAAACCCTCTGTTCCCAGGATAGGCAGAATCATAGCCTATCAGTACAAGGACCAGAACATCCTGAAAACAATAAGCTCCTTATTCAAGGATTGTAAATACTGTTATCATTTATTAACAGATTGTATTTTTCATGTTTATTTTTATGTGGGGCTGAGAATTGAACCCAGTGCCTCACACATGCTAGGCAAGAGCTTTACCACTGAGCCACAACCCCAGCCCAAATACTGTTATTATTTTTAAAACACAGCTGAGTTAGAATGGCCTTGTGTGAATTGTTTCAAAGAAAGACATGCTGAGAGTTAGCATGTAGGCTCATGTAAGCAAAAATAACTGAAAACAGGAGTGGACCTCAGCTCAGCAAGCTGTCTTTATCAAGTAGTAGTGGAATGGCACATTTTCAGGGGACAAAATGGTGACTGGTTAAAAGAGAGGTCTGTTTTTTATAGATCTTAATGAGAATTAATCATAGCAGAAGATTTCATGTGACTTAATCATGAGAGACTTGGGACATGTTGGCTGGACAGTCAGGAAACTAGTTGTGCAGGTTAAAAATCCAACTCAGGAAAACAGTTGTAAAAGCTTGAAACTCTTTGTTACTGGGATAATAATCCAGAGCCCAGAGCCCATTTGTTTGCCTTCCCCTCCAGGATACTGGGAAAGGAGGAAAGACCAGAGAGAGCACAAGGCACTTTGTTTGCCTTTTCTCTCCCAGGACCCATTGTCCTCCCTCAGCCCTGGGGGTTGTCATTTCCCTTTTCAAGGGAGATGTTGTTTTCCATATTCTTCACTTACATAGAGAATTAACCCTTTAAACACCATGTTCCCACTGCTCATGTCTACCTAGAACCACCACCATGTTCCTTGGCTTATAAATTTCCACTTATCTATGCTGTATTCAGAATTGAGTCCAGTTCTATACTGAGGTCTCTACTCCCCTCCTGCAGTTGCCCTAAATAAAATTTGTTCTGGGGCTAGGGGTATAGCTTAGTGGTAGAACACTTGCCTAACATGTGCAACACATTGGTCTGATCCCTAGCATTGAAAAAAAAAATCTTTACTGCTTTGTAAGGGTGAAGCAGACCAGTTACCCCCATCCAAAAGACCGTTGGCATAATTAAGCTTCTTTTCTTATCAGAAAAATTTTACAAAGGATGTCAGTAGGATATCAGCAAAAATTTCTGTGGTTTGTAGCTTCCTCTTTCTTATAAATGCCAGGTTTGCAGACAAAATTTGTGAAACCTCTGTCTAGCCTAAAAATGTGGGATAAACAGTAACTGTTATGTACCCACCCAGTGACATGTAACCACCCCGCTGAGTATAAATCTAAAAGAATTTTCAGATTCAGGCTCCAAAGCTTTTTAGGCATTAGCCTCCTCTGGACTGCTGCAGCTAAAATAAACCTGATTTCTGGTGTCCAGACACATCTGTCCTATATCAAGAGGACAGACAGATTTAGATGTAAGGTATGAGGGGACAAATAGATGAAGATGGTGGGAACACAAGGTTAAGAGAATAATTCTATAAAATGACTTCACTGTACTGATTCTCCACATGCTTTCTTTGCTAAAAAGCAATCTGCCTTCAGCCCTACCTGGCCTTGGGGGACAGGAAATTCACATTCCTTGCTTCTTTTGGCTATACCTTTTGTTTCTTAATCTATTCTTTAGGTTTGGACAGGAGAGTCTGTTTCTTACAGACATGACATCATAAATCAAGTTGGAGTCAACTATTATGAACTTAATAGTTTCATATACATTGTATAATATTTATCAAAACTACTGATAAAATGTCTTCACAAAGCAGATTCAAAACAGGACTTGATAAAAGCCACAAACTACAGCTAACATGGGAACCTTGGTGATTATTATTAACCAAGAAATGAATACCTTATTTCTTATCTGACTTATAGTTAGGAGGCCCTGCACAAACAAGAAGAAAAATAAATGACTTATGAATATTATAATAACAAAAATGCACAGGAAATATTATTTATATTTAAGTCCAAACTAACGAACTTACAGATATTAAAGTTCAGCAAGGTTTCCAGATAGAAGGACCTAATTAAATACTTTTCAATAGCTTTCCTGTAGCAGAGGAATAGTCAATAAAACAATGAAGGGAAAAGTAAAGACCTAAAGGACTGAATCAATGGAAAAGAGTTTATCGTACAGGTTGGTAGATTCAGAGTATGATGGCCTGTGGACAGGGCTCTAGCAAGGGTATTAACGCATTTGATGAGCATCCTACTCCTGGGCTTCAGGGAACCTGTGTGACAGGCTCTAACCTTAGCCCCGCCTCTAGGAATTTCCAGGGGTCTCCCTTGGCAACCAGGTCCCATCTTAGACCCAACCTCTGGAATATTAAAAGTCACGCCCCTTGATGTGGTCTCACCTGAGTCCACTAGGCCGGCCCAACCTGGTCCCTCCCCAGCCTCGCCCACGGTTCTGGTTCTCTTTTTACCTACAAACCCAGGGAAAATTAGCACATTCAGTGCGCTGATGGACTGAGCGGACGCTCCACGCCACGCCCAGCTCCCGAAGCCCCGCCCCTGACGCAGAGCGTTTCTCAGAATGAGGAGGGGGGGTAGCGGGCGGTAGAAGAGCGCGTCTGCGCATGCGCAAGGTAGCTCATTGTGTGCCTGTGGCCGCCATGACACTTTATGCTGCAGTCCGCATCTGAGATATATTCTTGCCTCAGTCCGCATCCTATCAGTCCGGGCCCACGCCATCCAGGTATTGGCCGATGGAGGCAGAAGGCTGGCTTCCTCTCCTCCGCCGCCGCATTTTATCCGTCCCGCCCCGCGCCATCCAGGTATCGCCGCGGGAGGCGGAAGGCTGGCTTCCTGTCCTCCGCCGCCGCATCCTATCAGTCCCGCCCGGCGCCATCCACGTATGGGTCGCGGGAGGCGGAAGGCTGGCTTCCGCTCGTCAGCCGTCCCCGGGGCCCCCTTCAGCCGCGCGGCCCAGAGCCCCATCGGCTCCGCCTGCGCCGCGCTCGTCCCGGTGACTGCATCGGGGACTCCGCGCTGCGCCAGCGGCGGACGCGTCTCCTGCAGGCCCCAACTGGAGAGCCCCGCGGCCTCTCCCTGCGGAGAGCAGAGGCCTCGCCTGTGTCGGGGTCCCGGGTCCGGAGCCTCCTGCGGGTCTGCTGGTCTGCACACACCCCGCGTGGGGTGAGCTCGGCCCCGCTGCCCCTGGGCCTGGCGCACTGTCTAGCGCGGGTCTGAGAGTTCCCCCGGGGCCTGGGGCATTTTTGACACTTTGCATTCAGATACACAAGAGGGAGCTGATTTTAAAATAATGTTAACCCGCCTCCTGGGCAAGTGCATTTCATCCTTAATAAAGTGATACATTTTAGCCTGGCGCGGTGGTGTACGCCTGTAATCCCAGCTACTAGGGGCTGAGGTAGAACTTGATCCCAAGTTCAAGGGCAGCCTGAGCAATTTAGGCAGGCCCTACACAAAAAATTAGAAGGACTGGGGGTGTACTTCAGTGGTAGAGTGCCCCTGGCTTCAATCCCTAGTACTGCAAAATGCAGGGAGGAAAAAAAAAAAAAAAAAAACCTTGGTCATTTGTTTTTAGATTCTTCAAATTTTGCACAGAAAATGTGCCGGTTTGAATTTTTTTTTTTCTCCTAAATCTTTGTGTTTTCCATTTTTTTGTTTGTTTGTTTCTAATTACTGTACTTGCCAGGACTCCCAGCTGAATGGAGATTAGCATATAATTTTCATTCTTGCCTTGTTCCTGATTTCAGAGAAAATTAATCAGTATTTCACTGTTAAATAGAATGTTTGCATTTTTTAACCTATAAAATCTTTTCCTTTCTAATGGCCTAAATTATTATTAGCAATGTACACTGAAATAGATTAGTCATTTCTTTGTGTCTAAGGGAATATGTCAAATAACCTTTCTATGAGTACTGTGAATTTCATTAATCAGTGATTCAATTTTTGTTTATTTTATTCTTGTGGTGCTGGGATTGAATCCAAGGACTCAGCGCTAGTAAGGCACCATACCACTGAGTCCCAGTGATTCAGTTTTATTCTTTTTTTCTTTTTTATTTTTTTAGTGATTCAGTTTTTAAGCATCCATCATTCCTAGGATGAAATGAACTTAAATTATGATTTATACTTATTGTTCATTTCTCAACTGTTACCAATACTTTTGTATTATTTGTACTTTGTATGTGATCTGGCATATTTTTTAGATGTACGCTTCTGGTGTTGGAAGTAGGAAATTACCTTCCCTCTGTACACTGGAATTATGAATTTCCTACTTATTTTGTGAAACATTCTGTAAAACAATTTGCAACTTCTGTTTCCTTGTGCATGTTTTAAATATGATTCTTTTAATGACTGGATACCATGAAATTTTCTTCTTCCTCCTCCTCCTCCTCCTCCTCTTCTACCAATACTATCACCATCCACCACCACCACCACCTCTACTACTTCTTCATTTTCCTCTTTCTCATCTCTTCTAGATTCTACCTCTTATAGTTCCTGTTACCTCCCAGTAGTCCATTCAGACTCTTAATCTATAAAATGGATTAATCCACCAATGAAGTCAGACCCCTTATAATCCAATCGCTTCCCCCAAGCCCAAACTCTGAACACTACAGCACTGGAGACCAAGCCTTCAACACACGAGGCTTTGAAAGACATCCCAGATTCAAACCATAACAAATAGCTTGATTCTGTTTCTCAGAAATTAGGTTTTTTGGAGCCCATTGGGTGGGGTTGGGATGACAGCAGTGTTCAGGGCTTTGTAGTAATGCCTATTATCCTGTAAAATGGTAAACAAGTAAAAATGTTGGTCAAGGAGCCCCAAGAAGCCTAGTGTTTAAATAAATTAGTGCTTTCTTAGATATGAGTCAGGGAATATATATTCTTAGGGTTGAAGGCACCACTTGATACATTTTATGCTTTTTGTTATGGGGAAATGGACAGCCAGATATTCTTAAAATGTGAGTTAATTTACTAATGAAATGTTACTATTAGCCTCTTTTGTATCATTGACAAGGATAAGAGTGTTGTTTTGTATCTCTAGGGGAGAAAGGATTGTTCCAGTTTCACACAAGTTCAGTTTGTATTTACTTGGGAGTCAAGGTATGTGTTTTGAGTTGTCACTGGTAATTGATGTGCTACAATATCCAGGCTCATGAGTATGGGAATTCTCTGGAGGGTTGGATTCCCATGTCAGCTTCTGTCTTACCTATAACTTCTCAGTGTCTTACTTTTCTTTATGAAGGTGACATGGAGGAAGAAAGAATAAGTGTTGGGTTACAGAAAAGTATGATGCAGGTAAGTAAAAGGTATAATGCTCTAAAAGAATATTTCTATTTCATTTGATATCCTGCTGCTATTTTAGAGCACAGGTTAGCAATCTGCTGCTTTTTTTTTTTTTGGATCACATGGTAAGTATTAGGTTTTGAAGGTCATAGAATTTCTATTACAAGGAAATTGTCATTTTTATACAAAAAATATTCATAGAGGAACATAAAAAAATGTTTTATTGTATTGCAATAAAACTTTACTTACTTAAGTAGGTGATAGGCTAGAGTAAGTGCATGTGCCATAGTTTGGTGAGCCCAGGCCACAATACTATAAAACAGAGCCAGCTGTGGGCCTGACTTGAAAGATGTGCAGGCTCTTGGGCCTCTCAAGATTGTGAGGGGGGAAAAAGGAAAAGTTCCCATTCACTCTCTGTGTTTTCATTCATTAAATCCTCATCAAGATTTAAACCTGAGTTTGATGTTGTGCTCAATGCCTTAATAGGAATAAAGTAGCAGGTGAAGTTATTCTTGAATAAGGAAGAATTTCTGAATAAGGAATAATATGATATTATCCAATATGTGGTCTTGGTCTCATATCCTGGCATTGAGTTCCTAAAAGCCTTCAGATGTCTGGAATGATAAGAGTAGCTTTGTATGATGACTAGTGACCAGGACAGATAGCCTCAGGATGAGTGCTGGTACAGAAGAACTAAGGTATGCTTGACTCTTCAGCCCTATCCCCTAACCTTGAAGTTGAGAGGTACTGAAGGTTAAATTGATTATTTAAATTGCTAATTTAAATCAGTCATGCTTTCTAGTAAAGCCTCTGTGAGAACCCAAAAAGAATGAATTTAGGGAGCTTCTGTATAGCTGAATATGTAGAGGTTCCTGGTACGAGGCACCCCAATAGGCATGGAAGTTCTGCAGCTTTTCCTACCCTGCTATGCCATATATATTTCTTTATCTGGATAGTTCTTTGTATTTATAACAAACCATAAGCACAAGGAAGTGTTTGCTGAGATTCTGTAAGCCATCCCAGCATATTACCCAACTCAAGGAAGGTACAGTGGGGACCCTGAGATGTAGCCATTTGGTCAGAAGTATAAATGACAATGTACTAGTTGTTATGTTGTTTGAAGTATGGGGAAGTTTTGTGGGACTGAGCCCTCAACCTGTGGGATGAAGCTGTCCATGTAGATAGTGTAAGAATGTTATTGAATAACAGGAAACCTAGCTAGTGTCTGTTGGAGAACTGCTTGATGTTTGTGGAAAATTACCCACATACCTAATATCCAGTGTTCTGTGCAGGTTCGAAGGAAAATAACTTTGATTTTTTCTTTTCTTATTTCATTACCATCAACTGCAAAGAGACTAATGTAGTATTTTAGAAGTATTTTGGCTTTTAGACAGGATTTGTTCAGTCATTAAGTATGTGTGTGTAGAATGGGAAAGAGATCTGCTGACGGAGTCCTGCCATAGACTTGGGGAGTCCACAGAATCTTCTGAACCTCCCCTGAATTGATTCTCAGGTCCCCAGTGCTGTCAGCCTCACCCATCATCTCACACACACTGGAGGAATTGTACCTTTCTGAACAGAATTTGTGGCATCTTTTAGGACTCGGTGACCTTTGAGGATGTGGCTGTGGACTTTACCCAGCAGGAGTGGGCTTTGCTGGATCTTGCTCAGAGGAGCCTCTACAGAGATGTGATGCTGGAAACCTTCCAGAACCTGGTCTCACTAGGTAAGATTGGCAATATTGGTTCATGTAGTGGTTTCGAAAACAATTTTATCTACTAGTTGACCTTATTCCAGGATCTGTGCTGAGGAGTGGGAGTACTTGGTAAATAAGACAAACGTGGTCACTGACCACAGGGTGCTTAAGATCTGGAGGCTTCTTCATGAAAATGAACATGGGCATATTAAACCTGTTTTTTTTCTTTTCGTTTTGTGGTTGAAAGTCTTGAGGCTTATTAAGTATTGAATGTGTGGGGATTGAGGGGCTTCTCTGGGGCACAGGGAGAGTTTGTGATTTGAGACCTTTGAAGATTCTACTGCTGTGAATGCCCTTTACCCAGAGACCACCAGGAGCACACCTGGAAGTTAAACAAGCGGGGTTTATTTTGCAGTCATGGGAGAACATACCCATGGGGAGTCGAGGGGCATCTTAGTAAGAGGCTGTTAGGAAGTACCTATTAGAGAATTTGTGCTTTTTGGATGATTCAGAGATGAGTCTATGGGGTAGATTATATTGGTTACTTAGGCTCTCTATGAACAAGTACCATAAACTGTTGGGTAAAAAGATAGAAATTTTTATTCTTTCATATTTCTGGCATCTGGGAGTGTGAAACCAGGTGTCAGCAGAGCTATATTCTTTCTAAAGGCTCTAAGGAAAAAGTCCCTCCCTGTCTCTTTCTAGCTTCTGTTGGTTGCTGGCAGTCCTTTTTGTTTATAGATGTATCACTCCAGTCTCTGCCTCCACCATTACCTTCCCTGTGTACCTGTTTCTAATCTTTGTCCATATAGGGACATCAGTCATTGGATTTAGGGTCCATATTAATCCAGAATAACCTCATCTTAATTTTACTATATTGACAAAGACCTTGTTTCCATATAAGGCAACATTCTGAGTATGGGTGAACATTTTCAAAATAGGCTTTAAAAAAATGTATGTGTATGTACATTTGTACATATGCACATATGTATGTATGTATGTGTGTATTTATGTGGTAGTGAAAATTTAACCTAGGGGCTCTCTACCATTCAGCTAAATCCCCAGCTCTTTTTTATTTTGAGAAAAGGCCTTGCTAAGTTGCCCAAGTTGGCTTCAAATTTGGGATCTTCTGCCTCAGCCTCCTGAATAGCTGGAGTTATAGGTGTGCACCACCATGCCCCAGAGTAACAAGCTTTAATTTTTAGAGCAGTTTCAGTTTGAAAGCAAAATTAAGTGGAAGGTAGAGAGATTTCTAACAACTACTATCCTCACAACACAGACAGCCTCTTTCACTATGAACATCTTCCACCAGAATGGTCCATGTTTAGTTTACAAATGATGAACGTACATTGACACATCTTCATCATTCACTAGAGTCCATAGCCTATATTAAGGTTCATTTGTGGTGTTGTACATTGTATGGCTTTGGGCAAATGTACAATGACATGTACCATCATAGTAATATATAGAGTAGTTTTATTCCCCTAAAAATTTTCTGTGCTCTCACTTTTTAATCCCTTACTCTCTCTCAACCCTTTGGCAGCCACTGGTCTTCATATCATCTGTATATTTTTTATCTTTTGTGGAATGTCATAAAGTTGGAATTTATATCGTATGTAGCTTGTTCAGATGGCCTATTTCACTCGGTAATGTGCATTTAAGTTTCGTTCATGTCTTTTTATGATTTTTCTTTTACTGTTGAATAACATTATGTAGTATAGATGTGCCATAGTTTATTTATCATCCCGTTTACTAAAGGGCATCTTGGATGCTTTCAGGTTTTGACAAGTATGAATTATGCTCTCATAAACATGGGTAGCCTTTTGTGTGCAGTTTTGACTCCTTGGATGAATACCAAGGGACACAATTTAATTGCTGGATCATATGGTAAGAAGAGGTTTTTTTTTAATATTTATTTTTTAGATGGACACAATATCTTTATTTATTTTTATGTGGTGCTGAGTATTGAACCCAGCGCCTCACATGTGCTAGTCGAGCGCTAGCCCCAGCCCCATGGTAAGCGTATTTTTAATTTTATAAGAAACCACCAGATTGTCTTCATAAGTAGCTGTACCATTTTGCATTCCCATCAAGAATGAATAAGAGTTCCAGTTTCTCTACATTTTTGCCAATATTTGGCATTGTCAATGTTCTGGATTTTGGCTGTTCATAAAGGCGTGTAGAGGTGTGTCACTGTTTTGTTTTTCCTGGATGATTTTAGGATGCGGAGTGTACTTTTACTTTTTTACTTGCCATTTGTCTGTATTTGTTTAAGTGTTTGTTTAGGTCTTTGGCTATATTTTTATGGTATTTTTTTGTTCTCTTATTATTGTATAATGCAGCAAAAGAAATGATTAAGTGCAAAGAGATAGCCTTCAGGATGAGAGAAAATCTTTTCCATCTACTCCTCTGACAGGGGATTAACATCCAGAATATACAAGGAACAAAAAAATTCAACAGCAGAACAAAATAAACAAACAAACAAAAAACCCAAAGCAAACAAAAACCAAATAACCCAGTCAAGAAATGGGCAAAAGGGACTAAACAGATTTTTTAAAAGAAGAACTGTGGGCTGGGATTGTGGTTCAGCAGTAGAGAGCTCACCTAGCACGTGCGAGGCCCTGGTTTCGATCCTCAGCATCACATAAAAATAAAGAAATAAAATAAATATATTAAAAAAAAAGATTATTTGTTAAAAAAAAAAAGAAGAAATGCAAATTGTTAATTGATTGTATTTCTTCTTCTGTGAAGTGTGTATTCAGTTCCTTAGCCCATTTATTGATTGGGTTGTTTGTTTTTTTGGTGTCAAGTTTTTTGAGTTCTTTATATATTGTAGAGATTAATGCTTTATTGGAGTTGCATGTGGTAAAGATTTTCTCCCAATCTGTAGGCTCTCTCTTCACGTTATTAATTGTTTACTTTGAGAGAAGAAGCTTTTAAATTTGAATCCATCCCATTTATTGATTATTTTGACTTTGCTTCTTGCATTTTAGAAGTCTTGTTAAGGAAGTTAGATTCTAATCCAATCTGGTGAATATTGGGGCCTACTTTTTTCTTCTATTAGGCATAGGGTCTCTGTTCTAGTGCCTAAGTTTTTTATGTACTTTGAGTTGATTTTTTGCACAGGGTGAGAGATAGAGGTTTAATTTCATTTTGCTACATATGGATTTCCAGTTTTTGCCATACCATTTGTTGAATAGGCTATCTTTTCTCCAGGGATTGTTTTTAGCATTCTTGTCTAGTAGGAGATAACTGTATTTATGTGGGTTTGTCTCTGTGTCCTCTATTCTGTATCATTGGTTGATACAAGTCTATTTTGGTGCCAATACCCTGCTGTTTTTTGTTACTATAGCTGTGTAGTATAGTTTAAGATCTGGTATTGTGATGCCACCTGCTTCACTTTTCTTGCTAGTGATTGCTTTAGCTATTCTGGGTCTCTTATTTTTCCAAATAAATTTCATGATTGTTTTTTCTATTTTTATGAAGAATGTCATTGGGATTTTAATAGGAATTACATTGAATCTGAATAATGCTTTTGGTAGTAAAGCCATTTTGACAATATTAATTCTGCCTGTCTAGGAGCATGGAAGATCTTTTCATCTGCTGAAATTTTCTTCAGTTTCTTTCTTTAGTGTTCTATAGTTTTCATGGTAGATGTCTTTTGTTAGATTGATTCCCAGTTTTTTTTTTTTGGGGGGGGGTGGCTATTGTGAATAGGTTAGTTTTCCTAATTTCTCTTTCAGTGTATTCATTGATGATGTATGGGTGTTGATTTTATATCCTGCTGCTTTGCTGAATTCACTTATTCTAGATTTTTTCTAGTAAATTTCTTTGATCTTCTAGATATAGAATCATGCCATCAACAAATAGTGATAGTTCTTCTTTATCTATTTGTATTTCTTTAATTTCTTTCTTTTATCTAATTGGTCTGGCTGGAGTTTCAAGGATGATATTGAATAGAAGTGGTGAAAGAGGACATCCTTGTCTTGCTCCAGTTTTTAGTGGGAATGCTTTCAGTTTTTCTCCATTTAGAATGATGCTGGCCTTGGGTTTAGCATATATAGCTTTTACAATGTTGACATATGTTCGTACTATCTCTAGTTTTTCTAGTGTTTTGAGCATGAAAGTGTGCTGTATTTTGTCAAATGCTTTTTCTGCATCTATTGAGATGATCATATGATTCTTGTTTTTAAGTATATTAATATAATGAATTACATTTATTGGTTTCTGTATATGGAACAAACCTTGCATCTCTTGGATGAATCCCACTTGATCGTGGTGCACTATCTTTTGAATATGTTTTTGTATGTGATTTGCCAGAATTTTATTGAGAACTTTTGCATCTATGTTCATCAGGGATATTGGTCTGAAGTTTTCTTTCCTTGATGTGTCTTTGTCTGGTTTTGGTATCAGGGTGATATTGGCCTCATAGAATGAGTTTGGAAGGGTTCCCTCCTTATCTATTTCATGGAATACTTTGAAGAGTATTAGTATTTATTCTTGTTTGAAAGTCTTGTAGAACTCAGCTGAGAGTCCATCTGGTCTGGGCTTTTCTTGGTTAGTAGGCTTTTGATGGTGTTTTCTATTTTATTACTTGAAAATTGATCTATTTAAAGCATGTATGGCCTCATCATTCAGTTTGGGTAGGTCACATATCGTTAGAAGTTTGTTGATATCTTTAATATCTTCTATTTTATTAGAGTATAAATTTTCAAAATAGTTTGTAATTGTCTTCTGTATTTCAGATGTGTCCATTGTGATATTTGCTTCTTCATCTTGTATTTTAGTAATTTGGAGTTTTCTCTTTGTTAGCATGGCCAGGGGTTTATCTATTTTATTCATTTTTTCAAAGAACCAACTTTATGTTTTGTCAGTTTTTCCAATTGTTTCAATTTCATTAATTTCAGCTCTGATTTTAATTATTTCCTGTCTTCTACTGCTTTTGGTGTTGATTTGTTTTTCTTTTCCTAGGGCTTTGAGATGTAGTGTTAGGTGATTTATTTGTTGACTTTTCATTCTTTTAAT